GAATCACTGTGTATGTCCCTCTGGGCATGGTATGAGGAGCAGCTGAGAGCACAGACCTTGCCCCTTGTGCCATAGTATCAGAGCTTCCACAACGATTCTTGTCTGGAGGGCTCAGAACAAGCTGGTGTCTTGCTTTATAAACATTTTTTATTCAATTTTTTTGATCAATATATTTATCAAAAGATGTTGAAAATGTGATCAACATGATTATCCATATTTTTCTTTGACCAAAGATTTAGTTTTCATTACGCAAAAAACCCCCCACCAGCTATTTTGATCACATTTTCTATAAGAGTTTCAGTTAAAAAATGTATTTAATGACTTTAAATACATTCAAATTGCCAGTTTCGATAACAGGTCAGTTTTTGACATACTTCCTCCCAATATTTTGATCAATTGTTCACCCGGGCCAGACTCACCTGGCCGCAGTACCCCAATGCTGGCTGTAATGGGAGACAGAGCATTACACCCTCACCTGTACTGCAGGATAGTGCAGCTAGCACAGCTCCCCTCCAGCTGAGAACTCCGGAAACTGGTTAGAAACTGCAAGGCAAAGAATAGGGATCACAGTGTTACAAAAAACCCCAATAAAACATACATAGAGAGGAGATGAAGAAGGGAAAACCTTAGGAGATGGAGTTTTTGAAAACATCTTATTGTGTCTGTGAAGATGAGTAGAGTTCTTGAGCCCTCTTGCCTCCATGGTAATTTAATCCTCTTTCCTTTTAGGTCTAGCTGGCTTTTTCACAACTTCCCAGCATATTGTATTTCCCATATTACGACAAACTACTGGGCACTAAAAGTCTTGATCAGGCATCCTTGGCTATCTCTTTTTTGCTGTCGTCATTCTGTGGGCCAGTTCAGACAAATGCTGGTAGCAAGGGGCTCCCCATGGTCCCAATACCCACCCCGCCTCCAATTCTATGTTTGCCTATAATTATCCTCAGTACTTTGTGTCAGGGTCACTACATTTAATGGGTTGAGGAATTCTACGTGGGATTTTTGTAGCTCTACACTTTTTCCTTAATTTACAGCAGGAGACAGAGCTAAATGATGAGAGATTCCTCACCTTCCCCTTCTAGGGCTGTGTGTGCCCACAGCATCCCTGCTCTCTGTGGCACTGTGACTGGTGCCACGGCACTGCACTGGAGATGGCAAGCTGAAACATGCATTTCAGGCTGAATGTTTTGCCCCTTGGCGGTTGTGGTGACACTGGGCAGGTTCCAACTCACCAGCCTTTCCAGAGTGGGGGTCAGCATTCGGTAGTAGTCCGATGTCTCCCTTTGTAAGCTGTTGTCATACACGATTCCTCTTAGCTCCACAGTGTGCTCAAAGCTGAGCTCTCGTCTAGGATGACAGGCTGTATAGAGAGGGCAAGGTTTCCGCAAGGGAGACATGCAAAGGGTACTTGAAAGATGATAACATTTAGCACTCTGGTCTGCTTCTAGCTCTTGTAGAAGGCCTGTTTTTAGAACAAGACCCTCCTTCACAAATCCTCATGTTGCCCTTCTCATTTTCTGCTCTTCTACAGCACTTATCTCTGCAGATCTTCTGTTGATATCTCAGAAGGTCTATGCATGTAGGAAGAGCAAAGGTCAGGGTTGGGATGCCCCATGTGGACACAAGAGGAGAAGTTTGCTCTACATTTTTAGTTAATTTGAATGTCAACAATATGGATTCTTTTCAATGTTGGGGCACCTCCAAGAGGTTAAAGGCATCAAAGAGGCCAAAAGCCTAAATACTTCTATGCAAAAGGGGTGTGAGTGCAGCTGAATTCACAAAAAAAAGGATTAATGAATATAGTAAATTTTTTCAATTATTGATCTAGCTTCTGTCACACAAAAGGATCTCTACTGATCAGACTGAATGTAACAACTGTTATACCAACAGCAACATGTTTATAATAGAAGTGTATAAAAAAGAGATCAAGCAGTAGCCTAGAAGCAGTTTTTATTTTCACTCCCAAGACCTGCTTTTCTTTTCCCATTGAGAAAGGAACTAATCAATGGAGTCTGGAACCTTGCAACTCTCTTGCTTTTACAGTTCTGCTATTCAAACTTTCTTTTAATTATCAAATTGGTCCTATATTAATGAGCCATCCTTGCAGCTAGAGACTGGGAATGTGCTCCCTGCGCAGGATAGACACAGATTTGTTGGGACACTGAGCCCACCTAAGAATAGGAGTGTGCTGCAGCAAGTTCTCCCAGATCTCCAGACTGGGAATAGCATCTAGAAGGTTACAGGGGTGGGCGGATGAGACTAGGATGGGTTTCAATACTGACAAGTGCAAGGTGCTGCACCTGGGGAGGAAGAACCAGCAGCAGACCTACAGGCTGGGGCACTTCCTTCTCATTGGTGCAGAGGCAGAAAAGGATCTTGGAGTCATTATTGATGCCAAAATGAACATGGGCCACCGATGTGGGGACGCAGTCAGGAAGGCTAACTGCACCTTGTCA